GAGCGATTTTCGTCGTAGTAGCACTTTAAGGAATCGAGGGAAATACTTTTGTTGGACTACCACGTTGTGATTGGGTTAAACTGAGGCAAACAAGTTTTCTTTTAGTGGCAAGTTGTTGAAGACGAAAGTGATTGACACCTGTCATTATTGCCAAGTTTGTTTTTGTTTAAATCTCAAAAAACAGTGTCCGGAAATGACTATTTTGGCTTATAAAAAAGTAGGGTTCGGACCACCAAGTGAAGAAATTTTAAAAAAGTCGAGCTAAAAACGACAAAAAAATGCACAAGTTTATATTTCATATCAAGAACCTGCTCAAAGATTTTCGCGACATTAACTGGAGATATTCGTGTGGGCTCAACTTCAGCTCCCTTTAGCTCCAAGTGCAGTCATATTTATTATATATGGTTTCTTTCTATCTCAACAACATACCTCACAAGCATGAACGCAGTCTTCGAAACCAGGCTAAAAATGAGAAAAACAGCGAATGTTAGACGCGTTAAAACTCAATACAATTACAGTGAATATTTTGATGGGCGATTCGGAGAAGAAAACACAAAAATAGGTAAAGTTTTCCAACAACGAAGACTTCTGGCCCCATTCTTTGTTCCATGGATCTTTGTCTCGCAGCAGCCATGTTCTACATTGGGCTCCAGAGGTTCTACTTCGCTTCCTGTAGTTGTAAACGCTAGTGCGACAATAAATAACCTCTGGACCCAAGGGTAGCCATGTTTCTGCCTGTTCAAACTCATGCACAAGGGCGGATCCAGGGGGGACAAAGGGGGGCTGAAGCCCCCATTCAGCAGAGGAAAAAAAACCGAAGAATAAGATGCTTTTTTTAATTGTTTTCCGTTGTGTTGACGGAAGAAACTCAATTAGCCCCCCCTAAACTCAATTAGGCCCCCCTAAAATTTTGGCTGGATCCGCCCTTGATGCAGAAGAGCTTGGCTGCCGCGTGAGAAAGATCTATTCAGAAACATGATTAAAGATTCAAAATCTTTACAGCTTGTTACCACTTTTTCTTACCAGTTGCTTTCCCTTTTCATGTTCACTGTGAAACACTTGGAACGTTTTGATGGCTTTTCGAAACTTTTCTTTGGGAACCTAAAAAAAGTGCGAGTGGTTAAGTTTTTTKGGGGGGGAATCATTGTATTGCGACGAAGTAGGTTTAGGAGGACGTCAATCAAGGCGTTTCCATGACATTACATGTGCTTGAAAAATTGAAAACTGTATTTTCCAAAGATGTTATGGATCATGGAAACACTTTGACTTCCGTCCACCAAAAATCTATTTTGTTGTGGTGGGAAATTGTACGATTGCGCTCGTGTGATTGGGCAGAGACACTATATAGATAGACTACATAGATAGACGTTTGTTAGAGTATGGTATATATAATGATAACCTACCCTGGCGGATCTTGTTGTCCATGTGTCTACTACATGATATATCAATACACTGTAATGTAATAGGAATCATCAACATCAATACTTGTAATCAAAAGAGCTTTATACAAGATTAAATCTGAAAGTATTACTGGTGTCTTTAGGCAAAATAGATCAAAAGAATGAGTCAACAAGCCCCGAGGGAGAAGGGGTGGGGAACAGGCGATGATTTGTTACAGTGTCTTAACCAAAGTTAGAATGAAAGCAGCACTCCCGCTAGATATGAGTTAGGGACCTGAGGGAATCAAGGGTGCAAAGGAATCTTGAATCCTGAATCACAATACTTTTACTAACAAGAACACTGCACAGTACTGACACATCTGTTGGACACAAAGTTTTTTCTTTCTTTACTATATAACGAATGGAGCAGCTTTTCCTGCACTCCGTTCAGTAATGAATCATCAAGGAAGTGACGAAAGCACCAAAGAAGCATTGGAAGCACTTGCCTATGCCTAGTTACAGGAAATCTTTAATTTTTCCCATTGTTTTGGGAATGGTCAGACCCCCATTCTACATCCGTCGCGAACAAAAATCCAAGAAGCCTTTGCAGGGGAACCCATTTTATTATACGACGTATACCTTGACTCGACTAGAGCTGTTGGGTAAAGCTCCACCCAGATGATAAAACACTCGGGGTCATTCTCCAAACAAAACGTTAAACAGTCAAGCACCTGACATGGAAAATAAACAAAAAGTCAGCATCATTTTGAGTGTGCAGAGAGTTCCGGGTAACACCGTTTTCTTGATAACAGCATCATCAACAACAAGAACAACGACACCAATAACAACAACAATACGAGAGGATGAAACGTGCAGGTCTGATAAACTCATTTGTAACCCTTTATGTAGGGCTACAGTCTCCTGTACAAACGCTCTTATCGTCGTCACGCGACGTTGCGTAAAACGTTGTGTGACGACCTTAAGAACGTCACGTCTGCGTAGAAGGCTGGTGAAAACTTCTCTGGATGAGATGGGATACCATTTTGGTCATCCGAGACAAGGATATTTGGAGGTATTTTAGAGCAAAAGCAACCTTCTACTTAGATATCTTCAGATCCTGAGTGTTGATCGGGCGGATGCTCGAATTCACAACCTCCCGCACGATAGACCGATGCTCAACCAACTGAGCCAACCGGGATTCGTTTCATTTCTACATGTAAAATTTTTAACAACTGAAGTTTACTGCAACTAACCTCGGTTAGATATTCCATTGATATCTCATTGGAGCATTTGAGGTAACGCAGCAGAGATGGGAAGTATACTCGGCCACTAGACTTTGGTTGACTGCTGAATGAGATCGCCTGGGAAAGTACGAAAAATTATTACAGTGTAGAAAATAGTTTCTGGAACGCTCCAAGTTTGATCGATAATTTTATCGTAGTTTAAAGCACGCTTACCTTTAGCTTAGGGTAGAGAGATAGCATTTTTCTTTTAAGGCTAGAATTAAGAGAGGGAAGATTTATTTTGATGAAGTACAGGAAAAGTGAAAGTAAATAGAACTGAACAGGAGAAGTGACTTGAGGAGAGGAGAGGAGAGGAGAGGTGGGGAAATATAACGAGAGGAGAGAATGTAGCATGCAAATTCATTCTCATTAAAAACCCGGGTCGAGTTGGCATTACAGTGCATTGTGGGACTGTTTTAGGGACATATTTCCAAGGTGGCATCTATTGAAGAAATAGAAAATGCACGAGTGTGCTGTGTGCAGTTATAAAGCACGTGGGGATTGGCAGAACACGAGAGAAATGTTAGGATAAGCAGGATGCGTAGTGGAGCTTTATAACTCCACACAGCCCACCAAGCAAGTTTTTTATTTCTTTTATAAAATGCAAAGGGCGTGTGCTTGTGTGTGCTCTCATAAAGCACATGCTCCCAACCAATCAGAATGCGAGATTTATAACAGTTATTTTATAATTCGTCTTCTAAAACAGTCCCACAATGCACTGCAATGTAATCTTGACCCAGTTTTTTCCTCAACCTCATAATGAATGACTCTCTGCAGTCATGCATATGTTTAAAATCAGGCTTTACTGACAAATACTTTTAAGAGAAATATTTTCAGTTTGTATTTCAAGGACCCATTTCAAAGTTGTATTTTCCACTGGCTGAGGTACGAAATAAGTGGAAAATGTTTTCTCACACCACTGGAGCCTGGGCCAAGGGATATTAGTCACGTGGTCAGTGTTTTCATCAGTTGCTTTTTCGCCGTCCGCCATGACTGTTAGCTAGCCCCACAGTACCCCCCCAACCCTAGGCCAGCATTGCTGGAAGGACTTTAGAGTAGTTTTTCATGGAAACCACGTTGCGATGATAAGAATGATGTATTACAGTAATGCATATGTTGAGTTATTCAGAAATAAAGAAGTCAGTTGGCGGCAGTCAGCTGGACAATAGCTCCCAGTGGTGTGTGAGAACATGAATTTATAAAGTTTTGGAATCTACAGATTACTTACTTATGATTGCTAACCAGAGGAGATCGTGAGCCTAAGGTCAGTGCCAAGACATTGAAGAAATCTTTAGAAGTCATCAGACCTTCCTTAAGTTCAGTGCTTGCATTCCTGTACAAATGATAATGAAAAATTGTCAGAATGAGACTACAAAAAATTACCATTACAGTGATGAAAACAGAGACACCAGCTGAGTTGACCTTGAGATTGACCATATTATATACCCTATAGACTTTTTTTGAGTTCCAAATTACCGCCATGTTCCTTGATTACAGACTCATTCACACAGGGTTAGCCTCATATCAGTGTCTAAATATTCAATGACATTCTTATTGTAATATTGCGTAATGTGAACTTACTGCATTAGCTTCTCCAAATAGTTAACTGAGAACTTTGCAAGCTGCTTGGAATAAATCATTGGCATCATGATTGTAGTCCACACTATGAAGAATAAAATATATGTGGTGAAAAACTTCAAGAAAATAAGGCAAAATGATTTGAAACAAAAGTTGGTCACAGGAGAATATAATCTTATGTGCTACCTTAATTTACATATTCTACTTAGATGTATTTGATGAATGCATTATAAGAAAAAACACTTTATAGTGCAAGTACTATAACTGGGGCCACTTGGGCAGAGAGAACTAATCAAATTGTAGAATAAACACAATACATCCCAACTTTGGGTAGTGGAGCCAATCAGAAAGCAGCAGATAACAATAGCCTTTCAACATATCATTTCATTCCCACAAGAAAATGACGACGGCTATCTAGTTGTTTACATGTAACATCAGGGTCAAATTACTTTTCTCCTGCAGTCTAGGTTTCTGATTGGGCTCCATGACCTAAATTTGAATGCATTGTTTTCATTCTACATTTTAATTGGTTCTCTTGTCTAACTAGTCTAAGTGGCCGCGGTTACAATAGTTGCACTGTAATGACCATCCCAACCTACCTTTTAATCCTTGAGCCAGGTCATTTCCAGGTAGCTGTCCCAAAGCCCACATGATGGCTAACGCCTCTCTTGGTCTACTCTTCCTGCCATTTAGCATCTCTTCATACTAAAAATAACCCCACATTTTAGAAAAGTATAATTAAGCATTCTAAGGTGAAGAGGTTTATCATTCTGATGCGGAATTGTTTTCATTTGAAAAAACCTTAATTTCAATTTTTTTTCAAAAACATTTAAATGATTGCTTCAAATTTCAATACAACATTATTTTGTATCTGTCGTAGCAGATCTACAATCACCCAACAGTTTTGTTCCTTTTGTAAATCTGATTCAATACACTGGTTGCATAAAAAATGAAGCATCAAGGTTAATGTAGTATTAGAATATAAATGTAGTATCAGAATATAAAGGTTAGTAACTAACCTCTTCAAGTCTAGTGACAGTAATGTTGGGACACACTTTGACTGTACATTGAATCATAAGCTGCATTCCATATGCTGAATGGCCTAAAATAACCAGAATATGCCATCATTATAATCACAATGGTAGATTTGATTTATTTTGAATATGGATGAATGGATAGACATATAAATGACTGGATGAATAGATGAGAATATGTGGACCGCATAGCACTTATGAAATACATAATGATGGATAGATGGATAGAAAATGGATGAATAGATGTGTTGATGGGTTGATATGATGGGATTTGATGGATGGATAAATAAACGGTGTGAATGTTATGGAATTGGATGGATGAATAATAGAATAGATAGATTGATAGATGCATGAATTGATTGATGGGATAAAGAATGAGTAAATCAATAAATCATAAAATTAATGAAAGAAAGAACAACTCATCAACCGATGTGGTCCTTTATCACAAGGCGGCCATGTTTATTTTCATGAGAATAGAAACCTTTGTTTCACTCGCATAAATTTATTCTCAAGTACTTCAATGTGATACCAYGTGTGTTGGACTCTACTGTTCAAACCAACATGGCTGCTGTTTGAAAAAGGCCCATACAGGGGTTTGTACATGCATTTATATGGTTGGATTGCAAAATAAAACAACCTCTTCCTCCAGAGGAGATCTTTCTTAAAGGGGCACTTGGATGAAAATGGATAAAAATTGGAAATGACTTTAAACTTAGTTAAACGTATTTATATGGCCCTAATAGTAGCCAAGCAACACACTTTCTTAAAAGTAAAATGTAGCGGATAAAAATTATCAGTTTCATTCGGCATCTAAATTTGGAGTAAATGACGTCATTTACTCAACCCTATTGTTCTTTCTGCTTTTTAACCAAAATATCTCAATAGCAAGTGGCTCCCAGGCTAAAATGTTCACTAATCTGGTTTACATAGTCATAATTGAGTCATATTATCCTCATATACTTCAATTATTTGGACTTTCAAAAATTGGGGCGTTTTCATCCAAGTGCCCCTTTAAATAAAGTAATTTCATTGTTCACACCAACTTGACTGCTTTGAGATGGTACTGTACACTGTAGCACAAACCATCCCTTTTTCATTCTGTCCTTATCAGCTCACCTCGGCTCAATTCCTGCACCATTTCATTCATACAATATTGGAAGAACAAATCAAGAGTGGTTGATGGAACATTCTTCAGTATTTTTATGATGAAGGATTTCATGTCATCCTTCAACAAGCAAAAAGGATAGTCTGTTGGAATAAAATAAATATATAAAGACATTTAATTATAAAATATATGAACTATATAACTATGTAATTATACAATAATTAGTTTTAATAACACAAGGAATATTTGTTTTTTTACCTGAAGGCATATCCTCAAAAACTAGATCCTTTTGAGAAACATTTTGGAGTTGTAAATGAAGATAAGATGCCAAGTCCTTGAGCCATAGCTTATGAGAATACAAAAAGTAACTGAGATGGAAATAATTCATGAATTGAAGCATCACAACAACTAGCACTATAGTTTTGCATGATTCTTATAACCTGTCTATTCTACTCATTGTCCAGCGTTATACTTACCGATGGGTTATTTGGGAATGCAGCTTCATCTTTGGCAAGAATATCCTTCATCAGCACGATGTCCAGCTACAAACAAAATACATTTTTAATTCACTAAGCTATAATAACATCAAAAGAATATGGTACCTGGGGATTGTCTAAGGCCTATATGCTTTCTTTATATGCCTCACCTTTCGATCAGAGATCTGAAATCTGAGGCCAAAATGAATTTTAAGCTGTGAGCTAAAGGGATAATTGTTTTGCCTTTTCATTAGTAGTTGCAATGAATTAATACCTAAATAGGCCATCACCTTTAAGTGATGACCTCGCTCGCAAATTGGACTCAGATAATTCCAGATTTCAGATCTCCAACTGACAATTGTTTTTGGAAAAAGGTGTATGACCTCTCTAGAAAACAGGGTCAAAATCAGTTCCCCTGCAATTTTTTCATAAATTCTTCAAGATTCACATGTAAGCAATTTATCTGGGTAAAGAGGCCTTACTTTCTTAATAGCTTCTGCTAGCTGTTCTCTGTCACTTTTCTGTGGTTTCGCAGCAACTGGTTTCTTCTTGATAGGCTTTTTGACATCTTGTCCTTTGTCCGATTCATGCCTTTCTTCGGCCTTGTTTTCGTAGGGATTAAAGAGGTTGTTGTCCTTGTTTAGTTTCTTTTCATGCTTCTCAAATGCTTTGTAGATAGTTTCGGCTTGCGGAACAGGACCTATAATTTAAAATCATAATAGAACTCTTTAGCTTGGCCATAAAGTTTGTATTCATATGCATGTATCTTCTCATGCACAACAATTAAACAAAGAAATGATACTCTAGGGAATGATACGATCTGAAAACATTATGAACAAGCTTAAAGGTCTAAAGACATTTTTTAAAAGTGAATGGAAATTATATGTCCTCTCATTTTAAACTTATGTTTGTCCAAGTGTCTTTCTGTTTGAACAAATATGTAAACATTCACTTACAGGTGCATTTTTTTTTCTTTATTTCACACCAGCATTTCACTTTATTATCAGAATTTCATACTTTCTACTCTAAAATATCAGAAATTTTAAGCAAAAAGAATCAAACGGAAAATACGAGAAATATTAAAAAGGAATATTTGTTATAAGCTAAAACACCTAAGTAATAGGCTAAGTATCCCATTATTGTAAGCGATTATTAAGAAACGCATTTTGAAATTCGAAATATAAGCTCATAAGCTTATAGATTGTTTTGTTTGTTGTCAAATCCTTGTTTTCTAGACAAGACTCGTATGGTACCTAGGAAATTACACTTAAGTTCTTTTTTTTTAAGAATTTTTTTTAAATCGAAATTATTTTTGTACCGTAAGTTTTTGTTCAAATTTTTATAAGCTTATATAAGATACTTAGCATAGTTAATTAGATATAGATTCTAGCAACTTAAATGCAGTTTTATCAAGGCACAACTAAATAAACTTTGTCAAACTTGTTTATGTCTTTTAAGGCTTGATTCCAAGGCACTGAAAACRATTTATCATATTTGATTATCGTCCTAAATTTTATTTTAAAATAGCCTACGTGTCAAGACAACATTAGCCGGCGTTAGTGATGGATTAAAAAATACAACAAGGCTAAAATAGGTGATAATTTGACACGATTAGGTGCTTACTTGCTACGTCAATCTTTGGGGAATCATTGATCTTGGGCTTTTCTTTTTTCTTGTCGTGATTTGCACGTCTTTTGTTTCCTTTTCCTACAACTTCCCATTTACCAACCTGAGTCGCCATTTTGAAAATAATACTCGCTTTGAATTCTGGGAGACACGTGATATTTTTGAATTTCCCGCGAAGAAAGGTAATCACAGGTAACCCAAACTTTTGGTTTGAATGGTTGTAATCTCGTAGCTTTATTATTAATCCATACGACCAGGAAGGTGTGGTAAAACTGGCTTAATTTAAGGGTACTTTATAGGGACCACTCATTATTTATCGGAGGGGTGGGGGTATGGCTGAGAAACAGAAAAGTAAATTATTTTTTAGTAAATCCAAGTTTTGGGGGGAGTCTCGGGACTGCCTTTTTATTTCCAACATTTTATACACTCCCGTATATGTATCTCATCAACTATTTCAAGACCCAAATTTGCAGGGTCAGTAAAATTCTAAGGCCCCCATTTTCTCACCCATATCCCCCTTCTGAATATAATAAATGGTCCTTAAATAAATTTGGGTCAAAACGTTGCGGTTTATTAGAACATATATTAGTCATAACTATCAGAACGGAAAACAAATCGTTGAAAGCAATACTTTCTAATTTCGCCTGGTCTATCTTAGTGTCACGTGACAGGGCCGAAAGTCACTTTTTGACAGAAATAGAAAACTAGGGATAAATGGAACTTAGTGCTTTGTTTGTTGAAAGTCTACAAAAAAGCAAACAAGGTCAACTTCGTATTGTCTACGCTTACACTTTTGAAGAATTTGGCAAACCTCTGTGTGTGAAAAAAAAGAATTGTTTGCTTGAAGGAATCTTGAAGGAGAATAATATTCTGTAAAGATCCGACAAAAAATCCAATAGAAAAACAGCTTCCGGGATGGTTGTCATGTGAACGACAAGACAATGGAGTGACCTCCATAACGACGTACATTTGTAATCAAAGACAAATCCCCAAGAGACTTTTTGCCCTTGAGCCACAACAACTCACGGCAAGAAAACTATCACTTTACCAACATTCCCTTCATCAAGCCTTGGACGATACTCCAAGATGGTTTTCATGAATAAATCAACTCTCTGCATCAGATGGACTGCTTTCTTTCTCAATACTTTGATTTGGGTAAGCTTTTAAAATTCTTTTAGTATATATTTTAATTAAATATCGAACACATGCGCTAAAGTAAAACGATTTTTTAAAGCGTTGTATATCGTGTAAACAGATATTTATTATCTTTAGAGTACAGAGGCAAAGAGATCCAAATATGCCCGAAGAGTGTTATGTTTGCTTTTCGTACGTCTGCTTTGTGGCTACTTTTTTACGAACGAAACCTAAAAACTTTGAAATACCGAAGCTTATATCATGTGTTCTTTGCACATTTATAATTTTATAATTGAGTTAAGTTCCTGCAAAATTTAATAAGTATTAGAAATGTCGAGCAGTCCGTATATCATGTAGTTAATACTTTTTTTTGGTTTTAATACAGATTGGAGGTTCAATAATGCTTGGTCTTTCGATTTGGGTTTATAGTAAAGAGACTGAATTCGATCACATGGCCAGCGATAAGGTGAGAGTTATTTAATCTCGTCTCTATATGCTAGACTATAGCAAATCATTGGCAATTCAACTACAAAAACGACCCTTTTTCTTGCATATGAAATGTAAAAAATACCATTAAGAACACCCAAAAATATGAGACTGTCTTATCAAAAATCAAAGGGTCTTCTTGTCGCTTTAATAACTCGTTTCGTCTTAAAACAATAGCTACTATAATCCCCTCGCCGATCGCCTCCGGCAACTGGTATAAAGCGTAAAAAATAATCAGTAAAAGGTGTAAAAATATGAGAAAAAATTCATTGCATTACTCTAAAATGATTAGCATTTCTTTATTTTTATAGACTGCATCTGCTTGCTATTTGGCACTGTCCGTTCTACTCTTCGTCATTGGTAGGCCTACGATATTAATTTCGCTTTGTCTTCATCTTATAAGAGAAGAAAAGGAAGGATGTGTATATACCCTGTATTAGAAAACAATCTCAGAATAATTGCTTTAGGACCATCAATAATTAAATTTTGATCAAAGCCTCTTTTTTCGTAGGTTTTTTAGGCTCTTGCGCAATACTTCTTCTAAAACCAAGTCTTCTAAAAATTGTAAGTAAATGGGGGGAAAAATAATTTAATATTGTTGTATAGTTAGCTTGTTCTTTATTTTTCTTGCCTTTATATAAGTACCTTTCAGGTCCCTTTGATGTTTTTCATTGTGGCGTCACACTATCGAAAATTTTAATTTTCTGTTTTATCACAAAAAAGAGTTCGCAGCCAAATTTTAGTGAAACTGTGCGGTTTCCTAGCCTCAGATCATGTAAGCTATATTTGTATCTTTGTATTGTAAAAGAAATATCGCAAAATCTTCTGATACAATTCGGAATTGATAGACACTCATGATTTTTTGAAAGCCTCTCAACTTGGACTCGCCCGGCTTGTCCAATTTTGAAAACTTTCAAAACATCACTCCTACCTATCAATTCCGAATTGTAAACAAGATCGTGCGATTTCCTATGTACTTAAAACTTTTACAAAGAAATGTCAGTTCTTGGGATGAACGTCATAGCCACCATATTGGCCGAACGATAGATCAAACATGGAAACTGTTTCATCGTTATTTATTTATTCACAAGGGTTTTTTGAAATCTGGTTGCGATCCAATTTGCCCGCCAATCTGACATACATTTCTCATTAAAAAATTCATACCTTTGATATGTAATTTACGTGCGATCATATTATTATCATTATTATTATTATTATTATTATTATCTTCACGAAACTTCACAGTTTTACTATAGATTAAATAAATTTCTCTACAGCGTGAAATCACAGGATGAATTCTCATATGTTTATATTTTCTTTTAGTATTTTAGTTTCATAATGACCATACTTCTAGCGGAGCTCTCTGTGTCGCTTTATCTGTATTTTGAGCAAGATAAGGTTCGTAACGTTACTTCAATAGATTTTATCATTTGTGCTCCAAATCTCTTCTTCTCTGCCTTGTTGAGTTCCATTCATACACTACTCAATAGACAAAGGCGAAATTCGGACAAAAAACCTTACAAGTTTACTTTCAGCAGATAATTTTCACAGCCGATCGCAGTTGATCTTAGTTTACATGGGTTATTATCGTAACTTTAAGTAAAAATAATAAAATCGGTTCGTATAATCCTCGTAGCGGTTAAACAGAATGCAATGTTTGTCCGAATCTTTCAGCTATTTTTAGAAGCAGTGCGCTGCGCTATTGAAACCCCCGTCCGCCGGGATTTAACGCGACAAGATTTGGGATTTGGCGCGCATTTAACAGCGTAAATGCACGGGTATACGGGAATCTATAACGCGTACTTCAACATTTTAATAAATAAACAGCAACAACTTCAATCAGAAGTTCATAACTAGATAGTTATGGACTTCTGTTGCAATACTTTCAACAGACAAATTTTCCCGGGGGGGGGGGGGGGTGGTAAATAGAACACTAAATGAAACCTTATCAACTCAGAAGTCTTTTTCGTCCTTATGATTATCTAGATCAAAGGCTTCGTAGAGAAAAACTGGAATGCTACTAATGATGCAACAAGAACGCTGATCCAAGAAAAGGTAAATCCAATAAACTAAATCGGATCTGTATATGTTGTGTTCAAACCTTTAGAGTAGGTAATCAGTGGCCGATCCAGAACGATTTCAAGGGGGTGTCTGTTATCTTGAAAGGCATCACATAGCGTCCTTTTTACCTTATCCTTTGTTCTTATTATTTTTAACTCCGTGGGAGGGAGGGGAKGGGGGGTCTAGTTGTTACCTCAGTGTCCATCCTTGATATTAGTAGGTAGGTAATGCCAATCTGTTACTCCAACAGTTCGAATGCTGTAGTATGGATCCAGTCATAACGAGCCACAGTTCGTCCGAGGACTCATCGTGCTATGAAAAAAATGCAGACAATACCATGGCCAGACGGAGAGTAAGTCACGCCAGTAGTTTCATATGACTGTGAAATGGCACGGCACGGCACGGCGCAAAAAAAAAAATAACCCCAATATGTGAGATCATTGCTTAGAGCAGTTTTCGTATGACTGTGAAGATCTCACTGCCGTTTGCGTGCCTTGCCGTGACCGTGATGTTTTCTCAGATGATTTTAATTGGCTGATTGTTTTCTCGCGCGATGTGATTGGTCTGGCAGTGCCGTGACCTTGGCGTGACCGTGTCCGCGCCGTGTTTATGTTTCGTGTTCCGGGCATTTGATTGGATGCAGAGTAAATTCTCGAACAATGTGATTGGTCTGATGTATCCCTTGCCGTGTCACGTCCGTCACTGTGCCGCGAGATTTTCACAGACATACGAAAACTGCTCTATCCAATCAAAATGCGTGAACACGATACAGTCATGGTCACGGTACGGCACTGCACACATCACCAGGACATTACGGGATTGACGGCGACATCATATTTACACCAATGCACAGTATGTGAGATCATTGCTTATCCAACCAAAATGCGTGAAGGCCATACGGCCACGGCACGGTCACGCGTGGCCTCGTCACATTAACGCACGGCCACGTCACGGTCACGCACGTCCACGTATTTTTCATCGGTCATACGAAAATGTTGACGACTGTTAATTGCAATGGTAGTAGAATAGAAATAGGGCCAATAGAATAGATCTCATTGCGACGACAGTGCAGCTAGGTTGTTTAGTTCGCTGCTTTAAGATCAGTTGTGTGAGTGAGCATTATGTCAAACTATTTTCTGTGCGCACTACGCAATAAACACACACAGAGAGAAGGAGATGGGTGAGAATGAAGGGTGCGCATTCGCGTGGGGCGGTAGGAATTTAACACATTTATGGACCACTGATATTCGCAATGTCTAAGAACTTCAGGACTCTACTTTTCATCGTTGAATCCTCTTTGTAGCTTGCTAAACGGAGATATATCAAAGCCATTTGTTTATCAGAAGACTGGTTTCATTTGTAGGATTGCTACACACAACTGTTAAGCTGGGTGAAACGAAATAACATTGCACTGGCTACTAGTGCGGTTTTGGTGGCTCTCATACAGGTACGTCGTTTTTTTTCCTGTTCGTTTTTGTTGAAGTATTACCGGGGGAAGTTGTTTGTTTGTTTGTTTGTTTGTTTGTTTGATAGTTTGTTCGTTTGTTCGTTTTTTCATTCTTTCTTTCTTTACTGGCTGGCTAGTTAGTGTTCTGGTCCATACACACGACGCGAGGTTCTTTCTTCCCGTCATTATCATGTCCTAGACGCCTGCGCTTATTCCCAATCTTAGGGTCCAAACGAAAGAATTCCTTTCCCTTGGGGATAAAAATCTTTCATTAGAGAGTTTTAGATTTACGTTCACGGCAAACGTGAAACGTCAGTTGACCAGTAAAAAATTCGTTTAAATGACTGAAAAAGAATCGCAAAAAAGTCCAAGTAATATAGAAAAACAAAAGAGTATTTACGCTTGGTGAGAAGGTTTGTAAAAGGTAAAGTAAAATACAGGAAAACTATGAAAACGTGATCACGTTTGCCGTTTGCGGGGAGAAAAAAAAGTCAATCTAAAACTCTCTATTGTTTCAGTGAACCCCAGTTAGAAATTTAATGCAATAATACTGATAGATCTCCCTTCAACCGTCTCATGATAGCTTTGCGGCTGTAGTACTCTACACATGAACCAGAAGTTCATTTTCATTTGTTGATCTTAATGAAAAAAAAAAAATATATATATATATATATATATTTATATTGACAGGTATTCTTACTGGCGAGCTCTTGCCGGTTACTGGCGACTATCGACTCAGGAGATCGAATGATAAGACAGATTAAGGTACGACCACTAGCTTCGAACAATGAACTACATCCTGATGGAAGCACAGCCTCTTACACACCTCCATCTACGCCTGTTAGACATATCATTGAAAGAAAAGAATGGGCTAAACTCAGCTCAAAGAGAAGCTTTAGAAATGCATTCGTTGAGGGTAAGACTAGTAAAGCATCTTAGGAAGAGGCACAGAGAGTGTTTCGAATCATGGGAAATGTTAGCGTACAATATGAGGACTGTAGGTGGACGGGAGTCCAAGCACTGTAGCTGGTTGGTATGGCTTTTCATTGCTTCTTGGTGAGAAACCATTTGTTGCCCATTTCTATCACAAATGGATCAATAATATGAAATCAAGACAATACCTGTGTGACTTGGCAACAGTTGGAGATCATGATCATGATTCCTTAGTTTAGCGCGCTCCGAGTCATCAGAGAAAAGACTACGGAACATTTATAGTGCAAATGCATGCCAGATGATTCATGACGTCGAAAGAAGGAGAAAAAAACGACTTTAGCCGACTTATCAGAAAGGGATGAATGGATATCATGTTGGATGAATTTAACAAAAGATTCATCACGAATCTCTTTTGTTATATTATCCAACATGGCAGACGTGTCTTTTGTTATTTCTTTCTCTTGGGAACGACTGCAAACCAGCAATACACTCTAACATAGTCTTATTGAAGCTCCAAAAATTCCCATAGTGATACCATTTTCAGTCTGTAATTTTGCTCTGGACCCAATCACGTTTAATGATGACCCAGCACCAAATTACGGATCGTTTATTTTTGGCCAGGAAGGATTTGGGGGCCAGTTACTAAAAAAATCAGGATCAAGATGGGCAGGGCAYGAAACAAGTCCAATCAAATGGCAGGTCAATAAAAATAGCACCTTTACTTTGGATTGTGTTTTGCGAACTGAGTTAGTATGTATGATATATGCAAACCTGTCAGTGGTTTTATTAAATGGCATACRAAAGTAGAAATACAGAAATTTTATTTTTTAAACAAAAAAAAGGGGAGTTAAAAGATGCAAGTTACCGCACACAGCAGATGTCTTTACCAAAAATTTTAGTTACTTACAGTAACTAAAATGTTTTTGGTATATTTTGTAAATTTTCATGTACACTTAAGTATTTCAAAGACCTTTTGCATTTGATGTCAAAGCAGCTCAATCTGGAGGTCAAAATAAAAGAATTCAATTCCCTTCTTCTTTTATGATGTTAATGTTAAATTGTTCTGACCCCCAGGTAGGGATTTAGTGCAAGGGGTCTATAAAGAACTAAATGACACTTGATTATTGAAATCACTTTAATTTATTTCAATGTACATAATGGTTTACTAAGAAACTTATGTATGTATGCCTCGAAAGAGTATAATTATTTCTAATTAATAATTCATTTATGCATGAAAGAGTTCTCAACCTATGACACTAATGCCATTATTACATCTTGATTCTATGCACTACTACCAGAATCGAATCCTCTTCAAATTATTTTTCTGAGTCAAAAGTTTAAAACTCACCCAAGTTCCTTATTTGCTTGGAATAGCCAATTGGGGTCCCAATCGGAAGTCGCAAGATAGTATATGGTGTTACTGGTAGTTAGGAAAAGACTATGTAAAGGATTCTAGTAGTGGTAGAGTGAAGGCATTTAACCAGTGAAATATAAAATACTAGTCAACGTGTAATAGTCAAATAGACACAAAAGAAAACAATGGAATTAGGGGCTACTAGAAGTGTATATAATAATAAATAATAAAATATCTATTTCACTGGTTTAATGACTTCACTCTAATATCCTAAAGGTGTAATAATATAAGAACAAATAATTTACGACATACATTAAAAAGATAGATTGAGTAACAAAAATAATTAATACAGTAACTAATACTATGTCCTAAATTTGAATTTTGAGGTAACATTTTTGCACTTGCATTTAAAGCCTTTCATGGTAAATCCTTACTGTGCGAACACACTTGTGATCACAATATAGAGTGAAAACAAAGGAAACAAACTTGATCCAATCAGGAGCAAGCAATGAAGCCAAGATATAGAACTGAGAAGAAACTTAGATGTTCTCAACAACTGTGGCAATGAGTGCTTGTGATTGGCCGAGGTCAATATCATACCAATATTGCTCTCTCCTGATTGGCTAAAGTCTTTCTTATCTTACATTTTGTTTAAGTGTTCCCGGTTAGTGTGTCCGCAAAGTAAAGTATAGATACATTCTTAAAAGAGAAAATATAAAAATATAAGGGGTATGCAAATTCGTTAATGGCGAAATTTGTAATCTGCAAAAAAACTGCTAAAATCCAAATCCATGATTTGATAGTTGCTTTCATTGTATTTTTGTGTTGGCTAACAAAAATAAACATGAAGCATTTCTGAAGAGGATTTATATCTGCAATCCAAACTCTATGACAAGCAAAAACTAAAATCCGGACCAAAAAATGGATAAATCTGCAATCCACTGCATTTATAGGATCTGCCAATCTGTTAAAATTTTAATCTGAATCTGAAACTACCGGACTAAATTGTTTTTGAAATCTGCACTCTAGTCTAATCCCTCCCCCTAGTAGACAATATGGTAGTTGAATGATGGCAAAATTTTACAACTACCATTTGTACCTCATTGAAATTTTTTTTGAGGTATTAGATTAAGTAGAGTTATTACAATTAATGCATTTTTACATCACATAATTCATGCATTGCTTTTTTCCCATATGTAATCAACATGTTTTATCCATTCACCTAATTTAAATAATTATATATATTACATGTTTTTTTATCTCTATATAACAGTGTGCATTACCAATAAAAAATGGAAAAGGATGCACGATTTTGAAATGTTGTAGGTCTTTTGGCCTCAGATCTATATGTCAAAAAAATTGGGATCTATACGTGTACGTTTCCTTGAAGTAGAACTTTCCCAAATTTCCTTGGATGACCACGAAACGATTTGAAATTGAAACTGAACTTGATTCCCTATGAAATTGCTTTCATAATCAAGAGAAATTTTAGGAACATCACTTGCATCTCATTTCGTAGAATTATCTACAGTATTTACAGCAATCACAGACTCGGCATCTCATGTGAGTGTACTTTGTTAGGTGTCTCCCTTGATTCAAGGATTTTTCTCCAGGTTTCCAGTTTTCCTTCCCACAAAACCTAACATGCTAAAGTGCAATTCAATATGTGTGTTAGCCGTGCCCTGACTTTGATTGGCCCAGTGATTGTTTCAGGGTTCAATGTGTGAGTTAGCCATGCCCTGGCTTTTATCAGCCCTGCAGAGATCATTTCAGGGTTCTATCTGTGAGTTACAGTAGCTCTCCTCTGACTTTGATCATTATTAGCCCAGAGGCTGTTTTAGGGTATACATAAAATTCGATTATAGCATCTTAAACTAAAATCTATCTTATATGTAAACTGTTGATCATCATTTAAAATAATAGCCTAATAGTCATCTTTAATTTGTAAACGCTTCTTGAAGTCAGAGTTCCATAAGATCAAAAATAACAAGATGTTGATAACAATTAAACTCCCCATTCCAAGTGAACCATAAACTGCATGCGCCAAAGGCATGGCATGACGGTTCTTGATAACGTAGTTCAACATCCACCCACTGGATAGAAAGCGGAACATGATGAAGGTGACTAGTAGTAAAATACCGTTGATTTCATAAATGGTACTAGTCTTGCTGAAACCATGGAAGGACATCAGTCGCCTAACATGGAGAAAAATACTATTGATTTCCATGAGAAGAGAACACATTGCAAAGCCTATGTATTTTTCAGAGAAGACTGCTATTCCAAATGCACCAACAACCTGAAAAATATACCAAGAAATCAAAACTAATTAAGTAATGATTTCATCATATCTATTGATACTTAAATCAGCCTATGTTTAGATAGAGGGTTTAAATATCCACAGAAAATAACAGAATAGACATCCCCATACTCGATAAAAATCCTGGTAAAATATTGATTTTTTTGTTTGCTGGTACTTCAAATGTATCAAGGTACTCTTTCAATTTCTGATTTTTATTTCACACAACTGTACTAATTTAGTGAGGTAAAGTCGTGAYCTGATAATGCATATGGCCTTGACCTACACTGTATCACAAATCAGTGTTATAAATAATGTTGAGATTTTCCAGAGAACTCACCACCACATGATGTATCAAAATTACTCCTGAATTTTTTAAATCATTGAATACCAGGTCAAAGAAGTCGTGTATGAAATAACCTGAAAAATGAAATAAAAAACATCTTATTTCCCTATCTAAATATTGAGAAGTTATACATACAGTGGTGATAAGTGTTGAAAGAATGCCATGTACTCAGAATAGTCATTTGCTAGGGAGGAAGCTAACAGGTAAGACAGACAGCACTCGGCATGGGTGGTCTAAGCTTCTACTGTGCAGACACACTAACTGGGACCACCTGAATATAACTGAATAACCAGATAACAGTAAACTAGACATAAATTGAACTGATAGCGTTAGCCAATCAAATTATCCAGTTCTCTGGCTCTTATTATATCAATGTGCTATATGATTGGCTGGTTAAACATGTGAGTGGAGTTTTGTAACCCACCATAAGAAGAGAGATTTTTTTATTTTGTGCATGTATTAGTTGAAATCTGATCTGAAACCTTTTGGTTCTGGTAATATAAAACAATCAAAACTCTTTAAATTTGATTGACATAAACCCAAACAACTCACTGTAACCTGTCTGCACTCCTATTGTCTAAATTCTATTGTCTAAACTAAAGGAATGAGATGGAAAAAGTGGGATTTCCTCATATTTTTCACAGAAAAATGGTACCTCATACACAGGGAACGGGATTTTAGAGACTCAAAATGGTAAATCAAATGATTTTTATAAGGATTTCAAGTGCCATAGAATCTTGCAACATCTACACTGCACAAAAGATATTTAAATGTTGCATATAGACAGCTCATACTACAATTTCCATCAAGCACCTCAAGCTTGAATTAATTACTTTAGTTACCAAGGTGACGAGACACGGTTAAGCATGGACGATAAAATTCATTTGATGAAGGGTATTTTAAAATGGGGAAAAATCTTGTTACAAATTGCACTAATTGCTGGGTTTCAGTTAGCTGATAAATGTCTTTGAATTTTATTATCTGCTCCAAATGGCTGTCAAATACTGACAACCATGTGCTGTCAACCAGAAAGATTTCAATTGAAAAGGTTTGATCCAGCATGAAATGACATCAATCGAAAGTAAGCAATTTCTAAATATAAAGTGTGACACATATACCACACATCTATCAAAACATGCAAATGATGGAAGGTGTAGTGCACACACACATGCACACAACATTAGAATTTACGTTGTGTGCATGCCTGTACAGGTCACTGCTATAAAACATCATTAACAATATTTGTCAAATTGTTTCTTTTAATTGTGAAATTATGAAAACATTGTAAACTTAAAGTAAAAAGCTGCTACGATACTGTCACAGCATTGTCTACTTTTCTCATTTTTTACATATTATTTATTACAAGAAAATACAAGTACATCGTATTTTTTTACGTTTCTTTTTAAAAAAATGTCACTGCTGCATCATATCTGAGAAATAATATTACAATGCGTGATTTTCTAAAGCGTGAAAATTAACCAGTGACGTCTTGAAATGTTCTTAACATACTTACAAATGAACATGCTATTCGTATAATTTCGAAATAAACCCTGATAAATAAATAATAGATTTTTCCTTGACTGCAGGTACATAATGAACTGCCCTGCTTTTGATTTTCAAAGTGAACTTTATTACGTAACTATATATTTGTAAAAACGAGTGAGTCTCTAGAGGCCTCAAAGGCTGTGAATAGCAAAAAGAGTGAAAAGAATAACTTACTAGTAATACAATGTACATGTCCCCACGCATTTTAGAGATCTTACAATTTTTTCCACGAAAACAAAAAAATTTTGACAAAATTTCTTGTTATTATTACATAACATGCCTTTTTCACTTGACTCTTGCATAACTATCACTATTAGTTTAATGGTATATGCAGTCTTTTCAGCAAATATTTATAGACTTACCCATTGAAAAGCAAACCAGGTAGTAAGAAATCCAAGTCCACGTTCCAATCATATCTGAGAGCATAGCTGGCTCGTCAAAAAAGCTATAAAAACAAGGCAAGTTAGTGAGCGCAGACGGGGTAGTGTGCGGGTTGTAACTACTGGAACGACTTCCATCGACTCGCGCGCCAAAGGACAGYAATCGTCTTTGTATTTTAACGAGTTAACAAACACTCCACTACCCAAGCAGATCTTACCTGTAGACTGAAAGGACTGCAGTGACGAAGGAGTGTACGAGAGAGATGGATATATTACAGTACATCCACTGTTTTCTTGGCGGTCCCTCACAGATAGAACTGGGGTATCGCACTACAGACTTGAAGATAAGCAATAGTAATCGCATCGATACGAAGGACAAAATAATCGCCAATCCTCCTAATTGCATTGTCGTTATTGCAGCCATCATGACAAGAAAGCGGAAATTATGGATATGAGTTTTGGCGACGAGATTTCGCTCTGCTTTTATTGAGCAGACTTCTATGTAGCGAAGCAAAAACAAACGTACCGCATTCGTCACACTCGCGTCTGGAGTGGTGTGATACACAGGGAACCCAACATATAAAAATATCGTCAACATTGGGGGCGCGAGAGGGGATCGGCGAGGGGGCTGTTAGATTTGAAATGAGCAGCTGAAAATTTGGGGCTCATTGGAGATGAGAATGAGAGGATGGAATAAAATAAACTGACCTTCCTTTAGGCTTGGACTAAATATCACTTTAAAATCTCCGTACGAGAATTTTTACTTGAAATTTCTACTCTCTAAATTACTATAGCTCATTTTAATATGACGGTGAAATCATTTGGTCTTCATTTTTATGTCGTCTTTCATAAGATCGTTCATTTTCAGGAATCTAGACACAAGATAAGATACTGCAACCGTGACCTCGATTGCCGTTAATCAGCCTTTGTAAAAACCATGGTTAAAAATAGAAAACCGACAAAAAGATTTAAAAGCCTAATTTTGTTATATATGGGGGAAAAATTTAAAAAAGGTTACTGAAATGAAAAAAAGCTTTTGTTTTGATAGTCTAAATATGGTCGATGAGGACTTTGGGTACCTTGATTTTTAAAACCAAATTGGGTTCCCTGTGTTTTATGTCGAAGACTGATCAAGATGGCGGCTCAAGGTCAAGAAGAAGGTGATTACGACAAACCACGCAAAATACCTCGAACTCTAAAGGAGAAGGATTCGGGTAAAAGACTCATCGTAGTTATAGAGAAAGCGTCATTAGAAGCTGTGAAAGTAAGTTGGAATAACCTTAGATCAAACAGAAATCTTAATGCAAAAAGCCAAAATCTTGTTCCACGTGTTTGTGTTTATGACCCGGTTATGAACGGTTTTGTTCCTTGTACTCGTTCAGAATGGTAAGAACTTCGAACTGCTAAACTGCGACCACCATAAAGGAATAATGAAGAAGAATAATAGAGACCCTGCAACAGCAAGACCAGACATCACTCACCAAGTAAGAAAATTATCTAAAGGGGCACTTCAAAACTTCAGTTTTGTTGAATGCATAGTTTATCTTATTATTTTGAGTCCCGGGGGGGGGATCCTCTCAAATTTGTGGATCCTGTTTGAGATATAATTTATTGCACTGAGTTCCTGTTTCAATTATCATGTCATCTCGCGTATCGTTTTTTTACGACCATAATAACCAGTTTCAGTCAGTACGAAAGTAGAAACCCTGAATATGACAAGAAACTCAGGAAGAACTTGGACCTTGAGTGAAATTGCATACCCTGTTTATGACAAGAAGCTCGACAAACCATACCAGGGTATCAGGTATTCAGCGGGATCATCCCTGTATAGTCCATATATGAGAGTACCCCCCCCCCCCCGGGTCATTATGCGCTAGCATAGCAAAATACAGAAAAATTATACATAAGAATTGAATGGAAAAATTTTCTTCTTGTTTTTTTCTTCAGTGTCTGTTAATGTTATTAGACAGCCCGCTAAACAAGGCTGGCTTACTTCAAATCTACATCCACACAGAGAAGAATGTATTGATTGAAATCAATCCTCAGACAAGGATTCCCAGGACGTTTGATAGATTCTGTGGGCTCATGGGTATGAGAAAACTTATAATAGGGACTGTTCATTGTTTAACAAGGGGGAGGGGTGGGTCAGTACAAAAATAGGTTTAAGAGGGGGGTACGTGTACAAAAGAATTCAAGTTGCACAGAACGTAAAACAATAGAGAAGCCATTTTTTTGCAACAACCGTGAGGGAGTTTGATTTCTTTTATGGATACCAAGCTAATCCCACTGCCACCCTCCCTGATAAAAAAATAATGGTCACCTTAAATGTTGTCGTATGACAGAGGAAGGGGTGGTATATCATATTCTTGCAAAATCCCCCTTGATTTAAGACATGTTTTGCTAATTTCCTTTTTTTATTTCCAATTTTGTGTTTGCTTTTAGTTCAATTATTACATAAACTTAGTATCCATGCATCAGATGGACCCCAAAAACTTCTAAAGGTAAAGTATCAAGCATATTCAAATACACCATCTTCACCATCATCATCATCATCATAACCATCATCATCTTCATCATTATCATCACCACTACCATCATCATCATCATCACACCACCAATATACACTCAATTGAAGAATCTTTGTTGGGTTCAGAAAAACAAAGAATTAAGCTGAGACCAAAATGGCACATGGGAAGTATGTTAATTAGATGTATGCTGTGACCGGCGACCCGTGGCATCATCCACTGTTTTTAATACGCGTTAGGCATTCTAAACCGACTGCATGGATGTCGCAAATGAATAAATTATAATATAATTATGTCATTTCCCATGTGCCATTTCGGTCTCAGCTTTTATGTTCTATGTTTCTGAACCTGACAACAATTCTTCAATTGAGTGTATACCATAATATGTCCACCAAATGTAAGTTTATGGTGAAATTAACATTTTTATTTGAGGAGTCTTGTTAAAACAGGGCTAAGTGAGTCTCATTATTTGATTGCGTGTTATTGGTCTTGTAGGTCATTAAAAATCCTGTTACAGATCACTTACCTACTGGTTGTCGTAAAATTGGTAAGATATTTATTCCATTTTATTTAAGTTGGTGATAGTTTTATTGAAAATATTTTGGGATGACGTGGAAGTGTTTTAAATGTTGCCTCTCATCAATGCAGCCATATCATACTCTTTAATAAATGATACGTATTCTGATTTTTCTCGTGATTGAGAGTCATTTGTAGAGGACTGCGATGTTCCTCTATGAATGACCCTCAATCATGTGACAAATGAATAAGTACCATTTATTACTTTTCCATGATGAATAATATTTTTCATTTAAACATAATCTTTGAATACATGTTTTTTAATAGGAACATCTTTTCATACTGATAACCTGGTGAAAGTAAGAGACATCGTACCTGCGGATGAACCTATAGCAATAGTCATTGGAGGAATGGCTCATGGATCAGTAAGCAAATAGACATGTGACAGAACTTTAAGCTATGGACACATGGTGCAACATATTACACACAATGTTGTATGCAATTTATGTCACGAGCCATGACAGGATGCAATTATTTGTTGCATGCAACATTGCTGAAGTAGAAAACTATCCTACTTCAGCAACATTGCCTGCAATGTTGCGCGCAATGTTGCATCATGTGACTGCACCTTTAGACTCGCAGAAAGTAATGTTAGGGACAATATTTTTTAGTTCTCCTTTTGCAAAGTTGGAAATTTTAGGTTGATTTGCAAGAAATTCAGTTTGAAATTGAGAACTCTCTGCCTCTCTTCCCCCAATGAACTACTCTGGTATTTCAGAAGCTGGTAATGTGAATGGAAATAACATCCATGTCCCTTGTTTTTTCACCATCTCCTCCATCTAGTGATGATCGTAATTGTCAGTTAGGTTGTGGGATTGATTTCTGGAATGACTGACACTTAAAATAACTGCAGAAAGCTGATGAGYATAAGGATGATGTTTGGATTGTTGATGATGATAACGAGGCTAATGTTGATGATGTTAGATTATGATTATGATGATGATGATACATGTGTTCATGTTCTTTTTCCTGTTGCAGATTGATCCTGATTATGTAGAAGATACTATTTCCATCAGTCAATACCCTTTATCTGCTGCATTGGCATGTGCTAAAATCTGTACAGCATTTGAGGAAGTTTGGGGGGTTGTGTAATAGTAAAARATTATTTTGTCGAAATAAATAAAGAACAAAATATAAAATGTGTGACAATCATGTTGGTGAAAAATCGACAGGTCAGATAAATGGCACCAAATGTCTTTGGGTTTATTTGATTAAGTCTTGTTATATAATCAAGGGAATGCCTATTTTTAGGGAGGAATGAACCCCTCTCAAAATAATCGTGATGTGAGGCTTAAAAAAATGAAAATAAATGAGACATCAGACTTTTCTCGATGGAATTTGTACATTACTTTTGTATTACCATGTTAGCCATGCTTGCATTCAAGATAATAATATTCTGAGATGGGTCCATTTTCTGGCCCCCCTTTTTTTGTAAGAAAATAAAACGAAATCTGACCCTTCAATCTTGAAGAAATAGAAAACGCGCGCGCGTGCTGTGTGCTGTCATAAAGCACGCGGGGTTGACAGAACACGAGAGAAGTGTTCGGAGAAGCACAACGCGTTTCGGAGTGCCTCTCGACACTTCTCGAGTGTTCCGCCAATCCCCAAGTGCTTTACGATTGCACACAGCACAGCAAGCAAGTTTTTTATTTCTTTAATAAAATACAAATTACAATAATAGATAGGAATGACGCAACGGAAAGTGCGCGAAAGTGCAATGTGCTGTCATAAAGCATGCGCTCCAAACCAATCAGAACGCGACATTCATAACAGTTATGCTATAATGTTGATTGCTAAAAAAAAGATGTACAGAAGTTCAACTTTGTATTAAGTCTTGATTTGCTGTGACATCATAGCGCTATTTCACTATGTCACATTAAAACAATCTAATGTTTTAATGCTAACGGTCATGGTTGCCAGGAGGTACGAAATGCCAAATGGGAGATGGTGAAAAGTAAGAACAGCTAAATATTCCCTAAATATTCTGAGTAAAGAAGAGTTAGTCTAAATTTCTATTATTCTTGCCAATGTAGACAAACTGTGACGTCATTCTGAAAAATATTTCTGAAATGTCGTCATTGATAAAGATAATTTTCGATTTATCCCATGATCTCCCATGATGCTTAATGCTAATTTTGATTCCTCACTGTTGGGAGAACTTACACCTGATCAGATCGAATTCCAAGTGCACGCTCACTGATTTACGTCAAAGAGTGCGTATTTTTCTCCATAAATCCTTTGTTTTATGGTATATTGAGAAAAAAAGATACAACCATGGCCTCCTTTGTGCCTTCGATGAGTTCCTTCAAGAAACAAGGCCCTGCAGCGGACAGAGAAAAACTGGAAAAAGATCAAGTAAGTAGTAGTAGTTTTCAACGAAGTTCACAAGAAGGTCGAGTGAACATTCAAACTAAAAACATTGTTTTTTGCGGTCGTTCCATTTCGATGTGATCGCGTTGGCGAGCTTAACTGGAAAGTATTTGAAATACTAAACTACCTTCAAGCTTTCATTCATTCATTTTGACGCCTGTTTTTATGTAGTGGCCGAGTTTTGCAGTAGCGTTATGACACCGGGTCACTCTGAAGTCTTGAGCAAATACAAACTCTTTACTCTACTAGTATAACGTTTCATTTTTCCATAAACACACCCTTATGAATACCGTTAAAGTATTATATAGGCATCATAGCGTTAAATGTTCAATAATACTTGTATTTTTCTGCTGAAATGTGTGGATTTTTATATACTATCGCGCCTAAACTTCAAATCTAGCCATTCCATCTCGCCGCATCCCCGTATTCCAATCAAAATATGTCGAATTTTGTTATTTTTTCTGCCTCCTTTTACACAAACTGACTTAGTAACGTATTGTTTACATATATAGGAGCTAAATTTAATAGGAAAATACTTTTTTAACGCATTTTTGTATGCGTATTATTATACAAATCAATGTACGTGACGTGCGAGGTTGTATCAAATAATAAATGTACACCGAACAACAGCATAACATATAAACATACTATCATAAATAAGTTAATCATTAACAAAATGTTGTCCTTTCGAATTGTTCTTTCTCTTTTCCTTTTAATTAATTTCATTTCTGATTGCATAGTTTTGACATTACATGATATTAGCAATTATTGAAAAAAATTATTCAAAATGAAAAGCCAATGTTTTATGCTCAGCACGCTGCCACTTATAAATTGGGATTCGGAAGGTAGCTTTTGATATGGAAATTTGTAAAATCTTGTAAGCTTGAAGAGTCTTGAGTCCTAAAAGAAAGTGATATGCTGCTGAACCGTCTCGCCTAGGGCTAAAAATAATGACTGGTGATCAGTTGCAGACAAATTTAGTTTTATGCTTGGTCATTTGATGATATCTTGTTTTTGGCTCAACTGGACTAAATTGGACAAGTTCCAATTTTTGGAATACGTTGTCTTATGATGCTGTCTTGGGCCAGGTTAATTGATGAGTCTAAATAACCACCTTGATTGCCATTTCCGGGGGGGGGGGGGGGGGGGGGGGGGGGAAGGGTTACTAACCTGCATCCCTCGGTTAATTGGACATCACAAGTTTTTTGATGTGTACCCGTAAGTTTATACATTAAACAAATCATCATGTGCTCAAGGTAATTCATTTGATTCCAAGCTTGCAAAATCATTATCGTTATTTATTTTAACTGAAACTTTTTTCTTCAGGCAGAAGCAATTGCTAAAGCTGTCAACCCTGTGGAGACCTCTGTCAAGGAAAAACACATAAGAAATATCCTTTTGATTTTATAATTTGATTATTTCAGCGACGTTATTTTTTTCATTTGGTGACCTGGAAATCTGTGATTTCAAATGGAAAAGCAACACCTCAGTTTTGCAAATTTTCTCAATTCTGAGTGGCTAACATTTTCCCCCAGATCAGCAGGTTGAAATTATGATACCAATAAATAAATATGAATAGTTATGAATCCTTGACAATACCACGTGCCATTATAGGGACATGGCAGGAACATGGTGCAAATATTTTTTGGACTTGTCTTGGCAAAATGCCATTACCATCACAGGTTTTCATGTGTTGGAAAGCCATGTTTCTTATCCACAAGCTTTTAAGAGAGGGTCACCCTAAGGTATGTTAGAGAGAGTTAAGTTGCTAGAAAAAGGATTATAAAATGAAGRGACATCACTTACTGAATTTAAAATTTTGAATTTAATTTTTTTTTAAATTTTAAGGAAAAAAACTAATAATACTTTATATTGTTTGTGTGAGCCAGTTTTTTATGCATATATCTATGAAGGCTTTGCACCATCAACAATAATATTTATTGAATCTGGTCTAATCTGATTTACGTTAGAAATAATTAAGAGGACATGGTTTGAACCCGGGTGTTGAAGTTTACTGTGAAATGTGATCGTCTGAGTGAGTGTTGTCTTGAGAAAAACTGTTGCTGGGGTGAAACGTCAGTCACGACCAACAACAGTCTTTCTCAAGACTACACTCACCCGGACGATCACATTTCACAGCAGTCATAATTCAGTTTCCCAGGGGAAAAAGACTATTGTTGTGCCTCCTGCCATCGCGTGATGGTGAAAAGCCTCTACTGAAGCCTATTTTTGATATTCAACTATTCACTTTGGCATGTAGAATCAATACTGAAAATACTGATTAAAGGGCATTGCACACACTTTGAAACACTTTTATAAATAATGCACCAGTAAAATCTAACTTTGCATTTCCTTTTACAAGGCATTAGAAGATTCATTTAAATATCGTCAAATTCTCGTAGACATGTACAAATTTTGGGTAAGTTTAAATTACAGACAGACATAATGATGTTGTCATGGAAACAGTATCATTGTAAGTTTAATTCTTGGTATTTTTTACTAGGAACTCTCACCAAAAGGTGGATATGGAATCCTGATTGCTAGATACTTAAAAGTATTGATAGCTAAGCTAGATTTTCATAAAAAGGTATCATTATGATGATTTTTATGTTAGATTATTCTTATTTTAAAAATATTATAGATTAAATTTTTCTATTTATAGTTTATTTTTGTTTTAAATATTTTTCTACATTTTTGTAAATTCTCCTCTTTTGGGGCCATTCATTTTTTTAAGGTCTGTGTGTGTGTGTAGGGGGGGGTGGGGGGGGGGGAAGGTGTAATTTTTTTGGGGGGAGAGGTCTTTAAAAAATCAGGCTCAAGGGGAAAACACAAAAAAATTCAAATCTCACACCACTTTTGGCATAAACAGAATAGATGGAGGAGCCATGTTTTTACGTAATGACAGAGAAGGGAGGTCGGTTTGCTTGTAAGATTTCCCCTTCCCAATAAAAAATGAACTGTCTCTTCTTACAGTTTATTGAGTGTTATTGAACATGTTTCTAGAATTCCTTTGTACCTGGGAACTTGAATACAGTCAAAGATGACAGAGTTCAGTATGCCAGTACTGATGTCAATGACTAGTATGTAATATCATATTTTTATTTCTCATGTATTTTCACTCTTGACACCAGAGCCCTGTCAGTCTTACCGAGTGCATGCTCAAAAAATGAAAAGAGCTATGATTGGTTATTTATTTCTCGTTATAATTCATTGAAAACTATGAAGTCAATGAAATGGTAGTGCAGCTATAAAACGATGAATTATTTTAAAATGACAGGGTTTTTTGGGGGAGGGGGGGGGGTTGGGGGAGGGGGTAAAATAAAAACCCATTTGTTTAGGGAATGCACACGCACACTCTAACTATAATTTACATTAAAGCATAGACATTACATACCAGGCAGCCAGAGCTAGAGTTTTCCAGGCTCTTAAAACAATAAAAAGATTGCCGAAAACAATGAGTTTGGAGCTAAACAATAGTTTACCCTTCAATACAAAGAACGGCAACCCAGAATATGATACATTTTGCAACACCAAGAAAGACCTGTTTTCTAGAGTCTCTGGCATTTTGTTGAGCATGTGTAGTAAGATTGATAAGGCTCTGGGGTCGGGAGTTCATGAATTTTAGATACCTTGTCAATATTTATGTTTGATGGGATATCTGTGGTACATAAACCACAGGCACCCCACTTTCCAGATTTAAGGTTATAATTAATCTCATTTTCTGTTAACAGAAATAACCTAATAATTGTCTGTGGTTCTATAGTTTTCAGCTGTCAGTAGAGGTGTTTGATTACATGGATGCACTGATTGAATTAGAGAAAACAAGTAAGTAACTTTAATCATACTGATTCTAAGTTCTTCAATGACATCCCTTTCTTTTTGAAGAAAGAGATGCTTCTCGATGTCTGATAGTATTTTATTCTACAACGATGATAGAGTCCTARGATACAAATATATAAAATCTAAGCTAAATAATAGCACTTAAAGTAAATCATGTATAGATAAATGTGAAGTAAACGATTACACATATAATAAATGGAAAACTTACATAAATAAAGATATACTGGTGCTGAATAGTCTTGTATTATAGTTCTGTCCTAAAACGTA